TCAAGACTCTCAACTTGAGGTAGACCGTCAATAGCTATCATAGGGTCATGCATGTAGTAGGCACCAAATATTTTTAGTTCAAGTGCACTCTCTAACCAGGCACTAATTATTTAATGAAACCCTGGAAAAGCAATGATGGTATGCAAATGGTTAGATTGGGCTTGGAATTTTAATAAAACCTAAGTATCAGAAACTAGATATTTTAAAAGCTGCAAGTATTTGGATATTTATTTTAAATAATACTTCTGAAAACAAGTTGCATGTATATTATTAATAATCACAATATATAGCAAACAGTACAGTAAAAAATATAAAAGGAAAAAATAAAGCTTCTGTTATCTCAAACTCACATTATCTGGAAATAAAACACGAATATCTGGTTTTCATAATTTATTTATTCTCTTTAATTTACTCGTCCTTCCATATATTAAACTCAAATAATGTTTTGGAGTTTTCTTTTTCTTTTTGATCTGTAATTTAAGGATTTTAGTGAGCGCTTTTTTTTTTTAAGATTTTATTTATTTATTTGACAGACAGAGATCACAAGTAGGCAGAGAGGAGAGAGGAGGAAGCAGGCTCCCTGCTGAGCAGAGAGCCAGATGCGGGGCTCAATCCCAGGACCCTGGGATCATGACCTGAGCTGAAGGCAGAGGCTTCAGTCCACTGAGCCACCCAGGCTCCCCAAGGATTTTAGTGAGCTTTTAAAATCCTCCCCACTTTAGAAGTTTTCTTTTCTTTCTTTTTTTTTTTTTAACTTTTTAGTCATTGATTGGTAATTGGTCATTTTTAAAAAATTTTGGTCATTCTATCTTCAGATGGTTAAAAGTTTCAACCAATCAATGATCATTCTTTTTCAAATGTCGTATGAAATAATTACATTATTGAAACAATTAATTTATTGTGTTATTCAAATTATTTATAGTCCTGTCTTTGAGAAGCTGGTTCTGAATTTCATCTAGAAGAGTACATGTGCAGGAAGAGCCCAGAAATTTTTGGAAAGATAATAAGAGATGACTTATTTGATAAACCAATTGTTAAACAAGCTTTAAAACAGGCTTTAAAACAAGTTGATACTTCACAAGAACAGAGAAATCAGAGGAATTTCGTAGATAATCTAGAGAAAGGCCCAGGCATTCACTGGAATGCAGCGTATAGCAATGGTGACATCGCATACAGTAGCAGACTGTCTACTGGAAACAAACTCAATATTACACATTTAAAACCCTGGAAGTGAGGGTCACCTGGATGGCTCGGTCAGTTGAGAGTCCGACTCTTGATTTCAGCTCAAGTGTCAATTTCACGTAGGGCGTGGAACCTGCTTAAGATTCCTTTTCTCCCTCTCCCTCTGCCCCTCCCCCACTCTCTCTCTCTCTGAAATAAATAAGTCTTTAAAGAAAGGAAATAAATTAAAAAATAAAATACTGTAAGTGAAATAAAGATCAAAATATGTTAAAAGACATAAAATCATGAAAAGAAAACACAAAAATGTTGTAATGATCTTAGTTTAGGGAAAAGCCTTTCTTCTAAGCATCACCAAGTAAAACAGGGAACATTAAGAAAAAAGTTGATAAATTTGAATCCGCCTCTCCCCAAAGTACACTTCTGAATTGCAGAAGACACCGTAACCAAAGTCAGTACACCAGAACAGCAGGAGAAAACTTGTCAACATCTTCAAGGGCAGATTCTAGCCTGTCTTTAAATCTTTTCCTTTTTTCCCTTCCAACTTGATGTTATCAGTCCATCTATGGTATTCCACAGTACTTGCTCATTATTATTTTCCCATGTAAATAATATATTTTTCCCATGTAAATAATATAATTTTCCCATGTAATAATTTAAGACTTAATGTATAATCTTGGTAACTGTTATTTAATCTCTTTAATGCAGAGTTTTTCAGTCTTGGGCTGTCAGTTTTAGCTCAAATGATTGTTGATTGTTCTTAACAATATGCATTTAAGGTATATTACACCACTAGTGGGAATGCAGAATGGGATAGCTACTTTGACAAATAGTTTGGATGATGCTTAGAAGGTTAAACATATGACTCATAGGACTCAACAGTCCCCTGTCCTAGGTACTTACCCAAGAGAAATGAAAAGTATATTCATGTAAGGACCTGTATGCAATGTTTACAATGGTTTTGGTCATAATGGCCCCAAATTAGAAATACCTCAAATGTCTTTCAGTTAGTGAATAAACAAACAGTGGCTTATCTCTTCAATGGAATATTCAGCATCAAAAAAGGTAATGAACAGTGGTGCACTTGGATGGCTCAGTTCGTTGAGCATCATATTTTTGATTTTGGCTCTGGTCATGATCTCTCGGTCATGAGACTGAGCCCCACATCAGGCTGGGCAGTGTGGAGTCTGCTTGAGAATCTCTCCCCCCTCCACTGCCGCTCTCCCCGCTCATGCTCTCTCACACTCCTCTCTCTAAAACAAACAAGCGAAAAAGGAATGAACATTAAAACATTAGGAAAGAAATATTCTTTTCTAGAATATTCAATATTCTAGAGAATTCTAAAAAAAATTTCTAGAAAAGAAATACTCAATAGAGATGAATTTTAGATGCATTAGGTAAAGTCAAAGAAACCAGACTCAATGGGCTTCAACCTTATGACTCAGTTTCTATGACAGTATTGCAAAGGCAATGCCATGGGGACAGAAAACAGATTAGTGGTTTCCAGGGGCTGGGTAGGGGTTTGATTACAAAGAAACACAAGGAAGATTTTTATGTCCTGAATTTTTTCTGTATCTTGATTGTGGTAGCGGTTAGATGATGAATGCACTTGTCAAAACTCAGAATTTCAGTTAAATTGGGTTAAATTTATTTTATGTAAATTATATCTCAATATACCTCATTTTAAAAAACAAAGTGAGAATTTATTACAAAAAAATCCTGTATTCTAACCTTGACTCAATGGGAAAAACAACTGAAATAAAAGTTGACTAGAGAAAATAAAATTTAAACTGCTCAGTGTGAATTACAAGGTTGCATTAGTTCTTCCTGTATTTCATTTTTTATTTTATTTCCTGCACATTCTTTAGGGTTCCTTTATCCCTCCCTCCCCACCCCCCCAACCCTGCAACTTTCCAGCTATTTCCTCTTGTGTTAACATAATAGTCAGCCCCAGAAGATGCAGCCAAAAAGAAGCCACACTTTGGAGAAATTGGAAAGGACATTTAGTTTCTCCACAGTGATTTTTAGATATTTTAAAACCGGCCCTAAAATTTGGTACTTTTTCTTTACTTTTCTTCTTTCTTTCTTTCTTTTGAGAGAGGGAGAACAAGCAGGGGAGAGGCAGAAGGAGAGAGAGACAGAGAATCTTAAGGTTCCACACCCAACACAGAGCCTCATGCAGGGCTTGATCTCATGACCCCAAGATCATGACCTGCGTTGAAATCAAGAGTCAGACACTTAGCCAACTGAGCCACCCCAGCACCCCTAAAACTTGATTCTTTGAAAGTGCCATGCAATTGAAAGAATTTTGAATTTCTTTTCAATTTTGAGTAATTTTTTGAGCCAGTCATGCTAGGCCACAATGGGGGCAGTGTGACCCTGTTCTCTGCTGCCTAGACAGCAAGGGTCTTCTGTTTGTCCCACGAAACATTGTTCCCCTTCCTGATGCAGAAGAAAATGCAGGTTTGGGAATGCTGGGGCCGTACCTCCTCTCTGAGCTGAAAGAAGTTTTCTTTGAATTAGAAAGACATGAGCTGCAAATTGGCTAAGTGTGAAGGCTCCATTCTAGAATCAGACTGTCCAAGTGCCTCTCTTAGCTCTGTCACTACTGCATGATCTTTTGTGAGTTACTTTATCATTTTGTGTCTCACTTTCCCAATCTTTAATACGGAGAAGATCATACCCTATTTAGGGAGAGATGAGGTATAGAGATAACTCATGTGAATGGATTAGAAATGTCCCTGGTACAAAGTATGCACTTAACACATTTGAACTATGATTACCTAATCCATAATGTATCAGAAGTGTTGGGCATCCAATAAAATTGAATTACCATGTTATGAAAAAGTTGGGGAGAAAAATGTGTTCAGTATTTCAAACTAGGATTCCAGGGATTTACGATGTCCTCTGACCTATTTTCTCTGCCTCTATTTAGGTTAGAGAGTCAGGGAAATTATGGCTTTTAGCTCCCAGGCACTGGTGGGTAACAAAGGCAGGCAGGAGAGGAGGATGAAAGGTCAGGGTCAGACCATGGACCAGAGCCCCAGAGGAGAATCAGGGCAGAAGGTAGAGGCTAAAGGGTCAGAGATTAAAAGATCAAGTACTCAATGGGGTCCAAGCTTCACTGGAACCATTTACCTAATTATCGCCCCTCTTGTATTCCAGGGCTAATACTGGTGCTTCTCTGTTCTGCAAATCTGTAGGTCTTTTGAAGGTTTTCTGTGTACCTAGCTATGGAGAACCTTCGTATGAAAAATCCTTTACCGTGGTCTTCCCTTTTGTTTTTTCACTTAGATTCCCCTACTTTTGTGGGGTGGGGTGGGAGGAAACTAAAGAGCCTGAGAAGCATATTTAGAAGAGTTACCTGAAATGTTATTTGTAGTCCTTATTTTAATGCATTCTGAAATTTTGCCATAACGGGGGTCATGTTTTTAATGAATGTATATACAAAATAGTATATATCCTTGTATTGAGGTCTTTTTTGCACTATTAATGAAACAATCAGAAATCAAGACTACTTTTTTTTAAGCCCTAGATGCTAAAATTGGGGACTAATTTGTGGAATCATAATTATTCTCCTTGAATTTGAAAATCAAGCCCAGGGCTTCTCTAAAAAGTAACTCACATGAAAACTGTTTTCTAATAATTAATTGCACATTAGTACAATTTACACATTCATTTATGAAGCCATAAAGATGATAAGAGTAATCATTTGAAACAAAACATCGAGACAGTTTCAAAAAAATGTTTTCAGAAAACCTTTTAGAGCAAGTACTTAAAATGTCATATCCATTTTAATATCTTGGAATATTCCTTTATAGCTGTGCAATGGAGGATCAGTAGCTGATCTTGTGAAGGGATTTCTGAAGAGGGGCCAAAGAATGAGTGAACCCATAATTGCCTATATTTTACATGAAGCACTATTGGTAAGGCAATTTAAATTGGTCATGCATTAATTATGAGGCAGTCATCACTCAATAAAAAACGTGGATCCTAATTTTAGAAAAATATCACTGCATTAGTATTGATTGATGCAAGAGTATGGGCAGAATCTGAAATGTTTGGCATTACTACTTCCTTGTTTTATTAGAAACCTACCCTCCTTATATGTTAACAGAACCCTGAATTCTGATGTCCTACCTATACTTCCGAGACTGATTGTGATGAAGGCAGATACTGTGTCTTTTTTACTAATTGGTTTTTATTTGCCATTATTTAAAATAAATATACAGAATGTTTCATCTACTGAGATCAACACATTTTTAATGAAGTATTTGATAAGAGTTAAGGAAGAGGGTGCTCTAGTTTATGAATTTTTATAAACTCCACAGCAGAAATGAGGTACTTTGATTTGACTTATTCATTGCAAAACATTTTAAGACTGTTTGAGTGTTAATTTTGACATGTATTTCCAATTGATTTTGCACAAATGCCACCCTCTGAAAAATGTTGTTTGATGCTTTCTTTAAAAGTCTTATATTTCCCACCCCTTAGGGACTTCAGCATTTGCATAACAACAAAACCATCCACCGTGATGTAAAAGGAAATAACATTCTGTTGACCACTGAAGGTGGAGTCAAACTCGTAGACTTTGGTAAGTGTTGCTGAAAATGGGTGAGTTTTCTGTAAAATGAGTAGTTATGATAAAGATTTGATCATTTTCCATGAGTCTTGCTTTCTAGGCATTGAAAGTGGAGAAAAAAAACAGTATCCCACTGGGGTAGGAAAGTTAGAGATTTTTTTTGTGAATATGGTCAGTGAGAGATTCCCAGAAGAAAGGGTGACTCTTCAAGCCAGTGGGCTTGTGCCCGAAACACCACAGTAGCAGTCGGCGTGGTCAATGGTCTAAAATCGACAGCCCCCCAAATGATTACATTAGGCCTGTGTGGTAGTCCCACGGCCCTTATTAGGTGCTTTACAAATGGGCATGGGTCCAAATGCAGCATTTTGAGGCAAGAGGGGAAACCTTCAAAGGTCTCTAGGAAAATTGTTTCCGTCCTAAGGAGGCACGAGGAGAGGTGGTCTCTTTCTTTCTCAGGTCCCCATCTGTCTTGCTGCCACACGTGAACATGCTGTGGCCATCTTGCTCCATCTATCTTGCTCCGTCCTGAGCTGCTCCATCCCGAGAGGACAGCTGTCCTGGGAGAGGCAGAGCTGAGAGGCAGGAAGAACGAGGGTCCTCCATGGTAGAATTGAGCCACCGAATGAATGGATTCTGGCACCTGCCCTAACTCTGGAACTTTTGTCACGTGGGAAAATACATTTCCGTATTTACTAAGCCAGACGGGTTTCTGTGTCTTAGCCAAAGGACAGCGCATCAGTTGTCCCCTGTTCATCTGGGTGGTTACTTAGCGGTGTGACTGTGTCCTTCCACACCTCCTCACATTGGATACCTGTGAGCGCGCTGCTCCCAGGACAGTGGGCCGCATGATTCTAGAACATCTCCGTGTCGAGTGTCCTTCAGTCACCTTTCCCTTACTCTGACTGGGGAAGGTGTTCCTCTTGGTGCTTCTTTACTCTTGATACTCCTCCCATTTTGTGATTATCTCATAGGATTTTTATTATCTATTAGGTCCTTTTCTTTTGATAAAAATACTTAGAAATGTAAACAGGGTCTTTCAGAAGTAGCATTTTGTCTTATTCTATTTTGTAGACCTAATGCTTTGGGTGTAGTAGTTCAGGGAGTAATAGTTGAATGAATGAATCTTACTTCAGTTTGCATCTTGGAAACAAGCTTAGGGAAGGTGGAAGTTAATTGAGTTTAATATTTGAGTGTGTAGCTCCTGTTCATCTGGCTAACCCCAGAATGAATTTCAGAGCATCTAGAGAGGAGCCGATGAATCGCATGTCCTTCAAACAGCCATGCATGTACCTTCCTTTTTTTTTTTTTTTTCCCTCAATTGAGCTTTCAAAAACTGCTGAGCAACAGTGAGCTTGACAGTGAATTTCTGATGAACAGCTGGGATGCAGCTAGTCTGCATTGTTGGTTGGGCTCAGAGCTGTGTGTTTGAACAGTCTGGCTGCATTAGGATACTAACAGCAACTTGTGCCCAAAGTGGAAAAGAACAACAAAACCCTTTACCTTTCTCCATACGAAGGGTCATTCTCTTCAGTCATGTAAGAAAAACTGGTAAACCAAGTAGCTTTGAGAAATGCACCTTCTTGGGACACCCTCCAAAGTAGCCGAGATTAAAATCATATACCTAAATAATTAATAAGGTGACCTTTTATGTGATACCTTTGTAAATAATTGTAAGTTGGGAAACTGACAAAGGGAGGGCTTTGGTTCTGGATGAACTGAGTTACAGACTTTATTTTCAGCAACAGTTAGGAAAGAGGGCCAGTCACCTACTCCGTGTGTTCATAGCGCCGGATACAAAAATGCTATTATTTGCATATAAGATAATGCTTATATTTCTGTTCTCCGCGGTAAGAGGACTTGGATTCAGTTTGCCTAAAACCATTTGTCGGTTTCCAAAGGAATTAAAACCTGGGGGGAGGAGTTGCAAGCCTAGTGAAACTCCTCAAGGGCAGAAGGGGCCAGATGGGATAAACCACAACCGGCAGAATTTACGCTGAAAACAGATGTCCTCATGTAATATTGAAATCAAAGGTTCAGGGAAGGCTGCAGCTGGGAGTAAAGCGTTTTAGGATGCCTTTTATTTGAACTTCTCACCTCACAAAATCAACAGTGAACTCGTTATTGGCTCCCGAAGGACTGTGCCCAGATGCCTGCCAGTCCTCAGAATGTCCCAGTGGAGCTTCACCACCTCAGCCATCCCCAGAAATCTGCTTCATATCTGGAGTTTCTTCTCTTCAAAAAAGTCAGCAGTCTGGTTGCGTTGCTTAAGTCAGAAACCTTAGGCTCATTCGAGTCTTTCTTCCTCTTTGCCTCCCACATCTACAACTAGTCCATAGCTCTGTCTGTTACATGTGTCCCCAGAATCCACTTCTCTGGCTTCTCTCTGGTCCTGGCCATCATCTCCCACCAGACCTCCTCCACTTTACTTCCCTAAACTCCCTACGTCCAGTCTTTCTTCTTTTCTTCCAGTCCATTCTCTGTACTATAACCTGGGGGGACCCTTTCGGAAAGTGTAGCTGATCCTGGCCCGGTCTTGCTCAGTATTCTGGTCATTGCCTTCCACCAGCCCTTGCGTAGGCTTTTGCCTTATGATTGTCTGAGTAGCAAGACCCAGGCTACCTCTTGAGGAAAGTCTGTCTGAATTGTTTTGTCTTGTCTTTAGCATACAGGGGAAATTTCCAGGGATACCCCAAAGTGTTCCACCCAAGCGAGAATAGAAAGAAGAGGGGAACCCTTTCCAATTCTAGGGAGATTGTGGAAAGATGAAACAGAGAAAGAGGCAGGAGAGTGAGATGAGATTTATAAAAGTGAAGCTGACAGCGAGGGCAGGAGGAGGCTGTCACCTACACACTCCCCACCATTGTCATCCATGTTCCAGAGAGGACACTGCTGCAGACTGGAGTGAGCAATGTCCTTATCATTTACACCTGGACCTATAAAGTGGTTCAGTAGAAGTACTCAAGTCGAGCTTCCCCAAACCCTTCCCTTAGTGTCCAGAAGCCCAATAGTCACTGAGGATCTGGGAAGTTCCTAGAGGGGTTGCTCAGCGTGGGCAGTGAGGCGCAGAACAAATCACTGGGCTGGTCTGAACAGCAGGCACAGCCAGACCGCGAAGTGTTCTCAGCTGCCCCTGAAGCCCGAGTGAGCCTGAGTCTGCCAGGGAGGCCCAGGGAGTCCCGCCTACATGCAGAGAGTGGACTGCAAGCTCAGCTGATGCCAGCACCAGCCAGGGAGGCCAGTTGGGCACCTGACAGCTGGGCAGACACACGGGTATGTGGTCCCCACGGCTAGTGACCCTCCACACCCGAGGACCCTTCCTCATCCTATACACACGGTCCCATCTTCAGGAGGGAGGAAGGAGTAGGGAGGCCATTGGAGAGATGGACCAGACAGTTTTATCCAAGGGAGACTGGATTCTGTCTGAAAGGACTTTATAGGTTTATTAGAGCTGACTAAGGTTTCCTGCCCTCCCTGCCAGCAGGTAGAGGCATAAAGAGAGGCCACAGCAGAGGCAAATGGAAGAAACTACAGTTGCTCTGGGTGTCTTAGTGCAGTGTTATAAAATGTTGTGACCGGTTACAGACATGATGGGTTCCTTGCCTAGAAACCTCCCTTCACCTCTGCACCCAGCTGACTTCTGTTTGCCTGGCGGAGCACCCCCAACACCCCACACTCTGTTTAGCCAACAGTCGTCACACTTGATTGTACTCATATGTTTAATGTGACCACCTTCCCTGCTAAGCTGTAGGCTTCATGGTGCCATTGTCTCTGGTCTAGCACTAGCACTTGGTCCCCAGAGCAAAACATGGTCCCAACACCTTGAAAGTGTTCAGTAAATACTTTCAAATGAGTGAATGAATGAGAGGCAAAATTTTCCACAGGACCTCAAAATGCTCATCTGTAAGTAGGAAAGAGAGTATTCTCTACCTCAGATGGTTGATTGCTGTGAAAAGTAAATCTCATGATCCAGGCAAACTACTTAGTATAATTATTGACATTTTATCGTTGTAAAAACTTGAGCTATTACCATTATCATGAAATCGAGTTCTCCCTTAACCCCTAGCTCAGTGCTGCGTGCTCAGTACGTACTTGATAAATAGTAACTAAATATTAAAAAAAAAAAGTTGCTAAATACTGATAATATCAGTTCCCAAAATAGCTTCTTTCTGTTTCAAAAATAAAAAGTAGTCCTTTGCTAGAATAAATTTGGTATTAAAGTATTTTAAGTATTCTATTAAGCTACTTAATTATACTAAAAGTAAGATTCTATTGGCTAATGCAGGCTAATACAGCCTTTCAGAAAACCTTTTTTGTTGTTGCTCAATGGATATGTTTTTATAGAAATCCCCCAGACACCTCAGAAAGTAAAAAGACAAGGGAGCTTGTAAATGTTTATTAATGAAATACATTAGCAGTCACTGGTATATAATCAATCAATAAATAATATGATCTCCCAGGAGGTAAACCCCTTTAGGCAAATAGACTGATGTCTGGAAAAGCAGTCCTTATCTGGACTGGAAAATGAAAGAGAGACTGAATTTGAAGGGCAGTTCCCAGTTCTCATTTCAATGATTTCTCTCTGGGGAACTTCATTTCTAATAGGATAGTTAACATTTCAATACAAAAGTACAGAATGTACTTCTTGTGATTTATTTAGACACTGTTCTTATGACAGAATATTTTATGACTTTAAATCTCTTATTACCCACATGCCCAATTTTAGACCAAGTCCCCCATGAGTAATGTAGGTCAAAGTGAAGTTGTGATTTATTTATTAATAACCCACTTCTAGCATCCAGTGAGGCAGTCGTACCTGAACTTAAAAACTGTGAAGTTCCTTCCATTCTTCTCAAACAATTCAGAATAAAAGAGTTGGGGGAGGGTGGTAGTGAGCAGGCAGAGGAGTGTGGGGTGAGCTCGCCATGCGGTTTGGGCCTGAAGGGGATGAAAAGGGCATCCATGCCGGGCGGGGGGTGGTAGCCGTGCTTGGCATGGAGGGTTGAGCCCCCAAG